AGAGCAGGAACACAAGCAGGGGGAGTGGGAGAGGGAGAAGCAGACTTGCCGCTGAGCAGGGAGCCTGATGCAGGGCTCCATCCCTGAGCCCAAGGTAGATGCTTAACGACTGAGCCACCCAGGCGCCCAAGGTTCCCCTTCTGTAAGGTCTTTTGAATGAGGTCTCTGTCTTGCCTGCACCTCCCCCCTGAGTTATCACAAGACCCTCTGCAGCCTGGCCTTCCCTCAGACCACTTCCCTTTGGGGAGATTTGAAAGTGCCTGAGTAACACGTATGGAGACCTTTCCCCTGGAAGGCTCCTGCACAGTAACGTTCTCATGACTCCACGAGGCCCTAGGAATTACAGGTAGTTTTCCTCATTTTACAGATGACAAAACACACAGGCCCAAGGCACGCGCGGACTTGCCCAGGGCATCGCAGGGAATAAAGGGCACATGAACCCGGTCCCAGAATCCCACGCTGCACCACAGTGCATCTCCCGCCCCACCCCAGGGGGAAGGTTTCCAGTTAAAGGACAGTGTTTCCCAGCAGGAACGCCAGGGACACCTCACGATGGTTCTCGGGTGCACGATTTTCCTGAGCATCATAGGTACTTAGCCCTCGAGGTGCCAGCCAGTTGACTCCCCGCCCCTGCCTGAGTCACTGCGAGATTCGGATCTGCCCCCGTGTCTGAGTGTCCGCGTTGACGGTAACCGGTCGCAGATGGGCATTACGACAGCAGAGTGGGGGAGACAGGCAGGCTGGGGCCCTTTGAAACTGATCGCTGGCTCCATCACACCAGCGGCATTCCAGTGGTTTGGGTGAGCAGGTATCTGCTCCCTAGATCTTCCTTTTGTTTTTCCCATAGGTCCCCAAACTCTGGGGTGCATTAGAATGACGCTAGGGTCGGACACACATAGCTACCTGTGTGGCGCTTTATGAGCGACCGGGGAGATTTTCAAGGATCAGTCTGACCATGTGCCACTTGAGCACCCCGCCCCAAGACACAGGCCGACGACCAGTGTGCTGGTGCCTCTGTCTGTCCGCTGGGCTCTCGGTGTGGGCCGCTGCAGCCCCTGCTCTTTGTTCCGCAGCTTTGCTTCTGGCTGTGTGGCGCTGCCTGTGCTGATGAACATTAAGGCTGTGATTGAGCAGAGGCAGTGCACGGGGGTCTGGAGTCACAAGGACGAGCTACCGGTGAGGCCTGGCAGGGCGGGGTGGGGCGTGGGGGTGTGTGTGGGCAGAAGGCCCTGGAAAGAGCGGCCGAAGCTGGAAGTGGGACTCAGCCCTCCGCTGGCTTCCCCAGATTGAGATTGAACTGGGCATGAAGTGCTGGTACCACTCGGTGTTCGCCTGCCCCATCCTCCGGCAGCAGACGTCAGATTCCAACCCTCCCATCAAGCTCATCTGTGGCCACGTGATCTCCCGAGACGCCCTCAACAAGCTCATCAATGGAGGAAAGTAAGTGCCCTGGGCTCTGCTCCATCTTGGCTCGGTTCCCCCCCACCGGCCAGCCCCCAACACATTGTCTGTTCTCCCTGTGCAGGCTGAAGTGTCCCTACTGCCCCATGGAGCAGAACCCAGCCGATGGGAAACGCATCATATTCTGATACCTGCCTCGAAGGAACTTTGTCAGAAGGGCTTTCCACCCATGAGCCTTGCTCTGTCCCGGTGGGGGTGGCTAGCTTCAGTGGACTGTGGTTCATTTCCGAACAACTGGCTGAGCGCCACCGTGGGCGGAGGCCAAGAAGGGAGATGAACCCGTCTGTGCCAGGCAGCCAGCTCCTTGGCCGGAAGGACAGGAAGACACTGGCCTCGGCACTCCCGCGGTTGCCCTGTTTCTCTCGGCCAGTGACTTCGTAGCAGCCCACAGAGAAGCAAAGCACTTGGCCAGCAATGCAGACCTTTTCAGCCCTGCCCCCAGCACCGCGCCCGCCCCTCCCACTGTATGTATCCAGTCCCCACTGTAAATAGTCCGGTTCGAACCGAATGCCCTGGTTTTATAACTGAGCAAATATATTCACAGGCCTTCTCCTTACCTCACCCGCCTTTAGCTTCACGGACAAGGAATTACTGCAGCCTCACCGTGCCCAGAGAGAACCCAGCGTGCCTCTCTGCCTGGGTGAAAAGGCCCGGGGATGTCACCTCAGACCACGGGCCTGAGGCTTTTACACAAACGAGTCAAATCTGATGCCCTCCTTACTAGGAAAAGGAAGCGAAGCGAGGGGATTTAGGAAGATGAACGGACTTGCCCTACAGGGCTCACAGCTTGTAAAGGAGACAGTTCGGAATCGGAACTGGATCCGACCCTCCATCCCAAGCTCTTTGAGGTTGACTCCAGGGTGCCTAGAGCTTGGTTGCTTTGTGTCCGCACTGAGCCCCGTGCTGGGCCTCAGAGAGCAGGAAGACACCCGAAGTCTGAGACGTCTGAAGGGACTGGGTCACCGGGGTCATTACACCAAGCAGGAGAGCTGGCCTGGGGTTTGTCTCTAGCTTCATATGCCTACTTCAGATGTGCTGTATGCGTGGCTAAATGGCTTCCAGAGGTTTCCCAGTGGCATTTTGGGCTTGTAGGGGCAGGGGAAGGAAGAAGGAGGAACGGGGGTGTCCCCAACACAGGGGCCGCAGGCTTTTGTGTATGGCATCTGCTGCAGCAGCCTTATGGTGTGGCTCCCACCAGTGGGAGGCGGAAGCCGGGGGTGGGCAGCAAAGAGTGTTCTCTGCTGGGGTCTGGCACCAGCCCCGGCGGCCCAGCAGAAGCAGCAACTTCTCTGAGTCCGTCGGGTTCTCTGGTGAGAAAGGCTGTATCCACTCTCTCCTGCCCACCACCTCCTTGGCCCCACCAGCAGCTGCTGCCGAAAAACACACCCACAGGCTCAGCACACTTTAGTCTTAGCATTTACTTCCCCACGCTCCATTCTCGGACCATCTGCACACGCGCGCAACAGAAGATGCTGGATGCTGGCTCCGCCTTCCGGAAAGAGCTGATGGAGCAGCCTGGGAAGAAGGCAGGCCGCGGGGCCCAGGGAGATGTGTGAGCATGGGCGGCAGGAGGCCAGCCAGCTGGCCCACCGCCAGCCCCGCAGCTTCCAGAGCAGGTGCCCGAGTCCTTCACATGGGCGGGGGCAGGGCCTGCACCTCCTCCAGGCACTCGTCATAAGCCTCCTGGTACTCCTCGTGTGGCTTGACCATGATCACACAGGTGGGGCGCTTGGAGCCCGCGGCTGCACCCAGGTCCTGCGGACAAGGGAAGGAAGGCCTATGGGCGGGGGGGGGAAGGCTGCACCGCCTGTATGCTGGGGAGTCACGGACCCCTGACCCACTGGCCCCATCCAGCCCTCAGACACGTCACACTGGCATTTCAACTCTGCCAACTTTCAAGCCTCAGGCCCACCATGCTGGGCCTACACTGGGCTTCTGGTCCCAGAGGCTGCCGCCTGAGGCAGGGCCTGTGTTCTCCTGGTCCCTACATGAGGACCAGGCCAGCTAACGGTCCCTTCAACAGCCCCCTCTTCCCTGAGCACCGCAACCACCCATCAGGACTAACACGGGCTTGGCATCTGCACTGACGGAGCATGTCCAAGCACACCTCCTTTGTCATTCCTGCAGTCCATAAGGGCAGGAATTCCCAGTTTCCAAGAAGGAGACTGAACCAGGGACCAGCAGAGCCAAGGATCCATCCACATCAGTCTCAACTCCAAAGCCTGCATTTTTCCCCACTATGGCCTGCTCCCACAGACCCGCTGCCAGATCCCCCTCCTCCAATGCTGACCAAGATCCGGGGGGGATCGTGTGTGCCTTACCGTCTTAGAGGGGATATAGACGTAGGGCAAGTTCCGGTCTTCACACATAACTGGGAGATGGCAGTAGACCTCAATGGGCAACGTGTCTCCTGCCAAAACCATGATCCTGCGGTGAGAGAAACACCGTCATTTCTAACTTGCCCATTCCTTCTTTCAGTCAATAGTGCTACCCTACCTCTGGACAGAGAAAATGGCCTCGGCCCTCAAGGACCCCAGATGTGAATCTCCCACCTTCTGAAAGTGCGTGCAAATTTGTGTTTGGTGATCACTTCCTCTGGGGAGGTGAGCCCTAGTTCTTGGCAAATTAGTAAATGCCACGCAGGGCGACAAGTGGGATTCCACTGGGACAGGTGAGCTATGGGAGTGACACCAAGGAGTGAGGAGAGCTCAGCTCTCCTTGGAGAGTCAAAAAAGGAATCAGGAGGCGACACTAGATCAGAAAGCTGAATGAAGGTGTCAGGCAGCCCTTGGAGGGGCTGGAGGAGAGGAAAGCATTTGAGGCTGAGAGAATCCAAATGGCTGAACATAACCCAGGAGCTGGCGGATGGGGGCCTGGGATGGCTTTGAAATCCAGGGTAGGGATGGGGGCAGACGAGGCTAGAGAGATGGGCAGCAGCCACACCCCGGGGCCTTGAGTGCCAGGCTGGGAAGCCTGAGCTCAGTCCCCAGAGTCACAGGGAACTTCTGAAGGCTTGCCCGAGAGCCCTCAGGTAGGACTCCTGGCTGGCAAGGTGTCAGGGCTCTGGGGCAAGGGCCTTCGGAGTCCTGAAGACACCAAGGAAGAGTGTTGTCTGGGGGGGTGAGAGGCATACACAAGGAAAGAGCTCTTGGTTCCACGTCCTGGGCCCACTCTCCTAGTTTTCCTTTTGTCTTCCAGGCTCCTCTGTTGGCACCCCTTCCTTCGAGTGGCCTTTCAGTGCTGGTTCCTCACAGCCTAATCCTTGGCTGCCCTCTCAGTACCTTCTCCCTGGCTGACCTGGGCCACGGCCACGGCATCAGGTGCCATGTATGTGCTGACAACTCCCAAATCTGTTCTCTCCTGCCTGGCCTCTCCCTTCCAAGCCCCCAGTCTGTGTGGCCATCTGCCTATTTGACAGTTCTGCTGGGGGGAGGCGGGTGTCACATGTCTAAAAGGCACCAAACTCGTGATCTTCCCACACAAACCTGGGCCCCTCCACTGTTCACTGTATCAGTGAGTGGGCCCTCTACTCAGTTGGAATCAAGACCTCCTCACTCCGCGTCCCAAAGTCCTCTCAGATTCACCCACTTTAATTCTGTTTCAGCCACCAATAACCTAATCAACATCGCCCTCACCTCTCCTACACTGGGGCAGCCTCCTAGCTCAATTTCGTCTACTCTTGTGCCCCTGATCCTTTCCAGAGTTGCCAGAAAAATCTTCACAAGGGTAAACACAATCATGTCACTCCCTGGCTTTAACCCTCGGTGGCCTGCAAAGCTCTGAGTACAAAAACTCAATTCACCATGGCTTAGGAAGCCCGAGGAGAAGGCAATGCTTCTGTCGACCACTATGTTCTCTCCTGCCTGGGACCCAGTATCTTCTGGCAGAACACCTGCGCCCTAGGTCAGACTTCCCACTAAGCATCACATCCCCCCAGCACGATTTATCTCTTGAGCACCAACAAGGTACCGGGATACTTCAGAGACCGAGCACTGAGAGGCTTTAGGGTCCGGCCTGACGGGGAGAAAGATGTCATGAAGGCATTCTCACTGCACCCTGTACATTCCTTCGCAGGTATCTCAGGACTTTCTATGAGGGAATGAAGCTGGGCTCGACCCTGCGTGAGCCCCGGAACTCACTTTCCCGGTGGTGTTCCTCTGAGCTCTTGTGAGTGACGTGTACCAGAGGGAACTCACCGGCGGCTCCATTACCTCGTGTATAGGGGGCGGATCACATTTACCGACTTTCGCCGAGCACCTTCCAAGCAGTGGGGATACCCGTGCTACCGTCCAGAAACGCAACACCCGGCGGCAGGGGGGCCTTACCCTTTCTCGCCTTTGTTGATAAACTTCTGAACCTCCTTCACCCCGCGCCGAATCTGCTTCTGCTTCACGGCTGCAACGACAGAAGAGTCAATCGGGGGGCGTCAGCCCGCCCCCCGCGCCACCACCGGCCACCGCGGCGGCCGCAAGCACCTTTCTTGATGCACTTGTAGAGCTTCCGCGTGAGACGGCGAGAAGCCAGGGGCTGCGCGATGGGGTTCAGATTCACCAGCAGCTCGTGGTAAGTGCGCTCCCCGAGGCACGCCTCCGCCTGAGCCTCCGGCCCGTCCGGATCTGTCTTTATTTTGGTCATCGCAGCGGCCGCGGCAAACGGATACCCCGCGCCGGGCGAATACACGCGGCCCGGGCCTCAGGAATCACTTCCGGGTTATCCCGTACTGCGGGAAGCCGGCCGTACAGCACAGCCAATTAGGGGACGAAGTCTCTGACTCAAACCAATCGCTGACGCTCAGCTCTAACTGCAGACCGGGAGGGGCGGAGTCTCGGCTGAAGGGGCGGGACTCGCCCAGGGGACTCGGAGGCGGGGGGCGGGGCCTGGCGAGGGCGGGAAGGGACGAGGACGCAGGCTTGGCCTGGTCTGAGAGCCCCGCCTCGCGCGTACTGGGAGCGGAGGAGGAGGCTGTGGCTGTGGGGGCGTAAACATGTCTAAGGGGCGGGATCCTCCTGCCTGAGGGGCGGGGTCTGCGGCGGAGCGGAAGAACGGGCGTTCTAAACCACCTTAGAATAAGATCCTCACGTGGTCCTGGGAGAGGTGCCACAGGTGCCAAGGTTAAGGTTGAGCCTGGCGCTGCTAAGGGCTTCTTCCGTTCTAGCAAATTTTCTCACACTCTGCTCTCTCTGTGGCCCCACTCACGGGCCCCTGTCTTCCCGCAGCGACCTGCACTAATGTTACCCCCCGGGAGAGGTTCACTTTTGCCACCCTATCTGAAACTGCGGTCCCCGTCGACCTCCACCGACATCCCCTACTCCCTTTGTTTTCCTCCTAGTTCCTACGGCTGCCTGGCATTAAGCACAATCCAAGGCCTGGCGGAGACGCCGGCGGGGGCGAGGGGGAGGAGAGCGTGAGCCCCCCCTCCCCGGGAACACTGGGGGCGTCGGCACTGGGCCCGAGACTGCGGGGCGCGGTGGGGGACAGCTCCGAGTAGGCGCCCCCTCTGCAGGTATCCCTAGAGCAGTAGACAGTGACGCTGGGGAAGTGAGCAGGCCCAGACTCAGGTGGATCTCGTTTCTCCGGCTAATTTCTTCCACTGTGTCCTGGAACACTGGATGGATATGAATTATATCGTTGCTACAAATTAATTGCCTTTGATCATGCTGTGGTAGGCCTGACATTTTTGTGGTGGTGGAATAGGCCAGTAAGTGGAACTTTAGAAGTATGCAGGTGGCCGTTGGGAGCACAGGTTGGTTAAGCCAACTTAAAAATTGAACTTTTAACCCTGTAACCAAGTGCAAAGTCATTCAATAAAAAACAAATCAGTCTTTTCTATTTTGCATTTCAATAAGAAAAATCGGGATGCAAGCCATCCTAACCTTGGACCCCAACTAGTTTTCACAAGTAGCAACGTATGTCAATTGAACAATGAAAATGCGTTCTATAAGTAATGAAAAAATAATTTGAACAATTTGTATGCACAAGGTAACAGGATAATGACCTTTTATAAATGTTCTCACTTTGGAATTTCTTTTTTTTTAACAATTTTATCTATCCATTTAAGACACACACAGAGGGAGAGAGACAGAGACTGAGAGCGAGCATGAGCAGGGGGAAGGGGCAGAAACAGGCTCCCTGCTAAGCAGGGAGCCCCATGTGGGACTCTATCCCAGGACCCTGGGATCATGACCTGAGCCGAAGGCAGTCACTTAACCAACTGAGCCACCCAGGCACCCTATTCCAGCCTTTTTATTTATTACTATTATTATTTAGCACTTCCTAGCTTTCTGGCACATTAAGATAATCCCTGGAGTAAGTAATTTCTGCAAGGAGATGTTCTTTGGGTGGAAAATGGTATTTGGAAACCAAGGTCTGGGTTGTTACTGAGGTGTCGTTGTTTCTGTTTTTTTAGCAGACAGATCTGTCTCTGCATGTTGCAGGCCATGAGTTTACAGATACCCCAGTTTCAATCCTGTATCACAGGGTTCTTCCTAGACCTCCCCAATCCATAGCTATATCTCTTTTCTGCAACAGTGCGTATGGTGACTCCAAAACCGGCAATACATCTCCCATCTGCTTGATTTCTACAGTACATAGAGAGTATTTTCGGAATTGCTACACTTCGTACCTCTGTGAAAAACAAATCTGCAGAGTAGAGTTTGTTTCCTTTTAATGTTTTTTTTTTTTAAAGAAAGCATGCACATAGGAAAGACTTCAAAGTCAAAAGAGCTTACAGGGAAAGTGAGTCTCCCCTTCAGCCCTGCTTGCCAGTCCCTGTGCGCCAGCCCACCCCCCGAGTCACCCCTGCCCCCAACTTCCCCGGCACGCCTCCCAGACAGCATCTGTGTGCACACACAGGTGGCATGTGTGTCTATCCCCTCCCTTTTTTTAAACACAAAGGGTAGCCTCAAGCGTGTGCTTTCCTGCACCTTTTCCCCCCTCCAGTTTGTCTCCGAGAGTGTTCTGTCTCACTACGTAGAATTCTGCCTCATTCTTGCACCTGGTTGCTTACCATTGCATCTTGTGGTTGTGCCATGCTGTAGTAATGCCCAGGCCTGGGTCCTTGCTTCTGATGGCAGGTTAACCGTGTGGTAGAATGGGTCTGAAACGCTCTTATGCTGTGCCGTTGGTTAACAGGTGGTGGTGGCCTGCTGCAGGGTGTTTACAGGGAGACCACATTTTCTCAGATGGGGGTTTGTCAGCGCTAATGGTTTCAGGGGCGTCCTTGGGCAGAGAAGATTTGGGGGTTTCAGGTTAAAAGGCTTTGGTTTTGGGATGCCTGGCTGGCTCAGCCAATGGAGCATGTGACTTTCAATCTTGGGGTTGTGAGTTCAAGCCCCATGTTGGGCCTGGAGCGTACTTTAAAGAAAGGATGGGGAGCTTTGGTTTCCTGAGAGCTGTTGCTTTGTCCTAAAGGGAATGTGGCCAGGGACTGTACAGAGTGTGGTCCTCTGTGACCTGGATGGAGCAGAATGTGAGAGATGAGTGGCAAGCTGGGGTTTGGGTGGGTGGCAGTGTCAGAGTGGAATGTGGTCCTGCCCTGTCTCCCTGTGTAGGTGGGGGGCCTCCGGTCGTTATTTGTCGGAGGCATTCAGTTACAGGTGCCAGCAACCCAGCTCAGACCAGGTTAAATGAACAGGCGGGGGTGGGGAACACTGGATTCATGGACTCAGGTAACTGAAATGTCCAGGCCCGGCTGGATCCAGGTGCTCATGGGGTCCCCTCAGTCTACACTGTCTTCATTCTCAGAGCAGTGCCTTGGTAGAATGCCTTGGTAGTACCCAGTGACTTGGTAGAATGCATCTCTCTTCCAGGGCTTCCGGTCTTGGAGCCGAGACGCTCCCTGGCTCTCCTGGGTCATGTTTCTTTCCCTGAACCAAGGCGTTGCCATCTAAAGAAGGCACCTAGATGCTGGGCTGGAGAAAGGGGCAGATGTTCTGTCTGTCCTCCTCTCTTCCAAGTCCCATGTGCTCTTGGCGGTGTGTCTGGTTCTGGCCCAGCCATGGGGGTGGGAACCGCACAGGCTTGGAGTCCTGAGCCAGAAACATCCCTGAACTTCCCTGGCAGTATCCTCTGGGTTGGTAAGAGGCATTAACCTGGGGACAGCGCCTTATGGCCCAAAGCCTCCTCACACGTGGTGTCTCACTCAAGACAGTAAAGAGCCATCCGGTGTGGTGGTGAAGAGCATGTGCTTTAGCTCTGTCACTGCTGTCACTCAGCAAGCTACCGCCTCAGCTCCCCCAGCTACAGGACAGGGTACTAACAGTGTCCACTGCAGGGCACAGTGGGGAGGATTAAATGAGCTGAAATAAAGTACTTTCCCGTAGGAAGTGCCGAATCAGCTACAATTCACAGCAAAGGACAGGGCCGGTACTATCACCCATTTTACAGGTGAGGAAATGAACCGAGAGATGAAGCCACTCGCCCTGCTTGAGCAGTTCCAAGGCATGCAGTTAAAAAGTGGCAGGACCTGGAACAGAAGCCGGGGTCTTTCACCCTGGAGTTCAGGGCTCCCTCCTGGGCCTCCGGGCTGGTGTGGAGAAGAGAGGTAGCAGGGGCCAGGTGTGCTCCTCTGTGTCCTGATTCACTGCCAGTGTTTCCCTGCAGCCCTCCAGGGGACCCCTCTGTCAGCCACCCTCTCCCTGGTGATGTCCCAGTGCTGCCGGAAGATCAAAGACACCGTGCAGAAACTGGCTTCGGACCATAAGGACATTCACAGCAGCGTCTCCCGAGTGGGCAAAGCCATCGACAGGGTGAGCGTGCAGGCAGCCTTGGGCTGGGGGTGGGGACACCCCGGAGCTAGTGCCTGGGGGGCGGGGCTCAGCAGGAAAGGCGAATGCTGAGTCACAGGGCCCTGTCTCTTGTCCTCGTCAGAACTTTGACTCTGAGATTTGCGGCGTCGTCTCCGATGCGGTGTGGGACTCTCGGGAGAAGCAGCAGCAGGTCCTGCAGATGGCCATTGTGGAGCACCTGTACCAGCAGGGTATGCTGAGCGTTGCCGAGGAGCTGTGCCAGGTAATGGCCTTGCCGGGAAGGCGCTGGAACCTGTCTCTTCTGCTTCTACTCGATGGCTGTCTTTATATTTGGTTTCCTCTTCTTTATATAAACTTATTTTAGAAGGGAAATCATTGCCCCTGCCATAAATAGAAGATAGCTCTAAAAATACATACGATGGCAAGTGAAGCCATGAATCTCTAGCTAGAGTTGGTTGCCGGCCAAGGTTCTGAGCTGACGCCTGATATCGCTTTCTTAAAAAGGGAGATTAGTAACATGACAAAGTAGCACTTGTTAGGTGTTAAAAACCCACTAGTAATAAAAGTAAGGGTACTTTCTCAATGTGATTAAGAGGACTGAAGAGGAATCATTTTCTCACCATGCTACTCAACACAGGTCTCTAAGACCCTGGGGATGGGTTAGGTTTTGTAGTCTGCACTCCGGGAGGCCAGCCTGCAACACTCAGCCTTCCAGAACTGGAATGTTCTGGAAACAGACTCCTTCAGCGGTGGGATTGTGCTCTCCCCACAGGAGTCAACACTGAACGTGGACTTGGACTTTAAGCAGCCTTTCCTCGAGTTGAATCGAATCCTGGAAGCTCTGCACGAACAAGACCTAGGGCCGGCATTGGAGTAAGTTGGCCCTTGGATGGGCCAGTGAGGGGACGGGGCCCGTCTGTGGTCTTCTGTCACCTGGTGTACTCGACACGCCTCCAGCCCTGTCTCATGGGCCTCACTTTGGCTTTGGGAGCCCACCTCTCAGTCCCGGCTCCACCGGGGCCCCTTCTCCTGCCCCACCAGCTCCCTTTCTCCCCAGATGGGCTGTCTCCCACAGGCAGCGCCTGCTCGAGCTCAACAGCTCCCTGGAGTTCAAGCTGCACCGCCTACACTTCATCCGCCTCCTGGCAGGCGGCCCTGAGAAGCAGCTGGAGGCCCTCAGCTATGCCCGGCACTTTCAGCCGTTTGCACGGCTGCACCAGCGAGGTAAGTGCTCAGGTGCTGGGGTGGGGGCTGCCGGGCTCCGGCAGGTGTCAGCAGGGCTCAGGGGGTTGGGCTCCGAGTCCCTGCCCCACCTGAGGGGCTGTGTGTAACCAGGATGCCTTTCCCCAACCTGAGAACTCTGACCCCTCCCTCACCGTCTCCCAAGTGAACTCCAAACCCCACGCTCTTCCCCTGCATCCGCCTGTGCCATATCCTTCCAGCTTCTTCTCAGGCCGCTCTGCACACCTGCTGTGGGGCACACCCACACTCAGCACACAGGGCCATGTGCGCCCCTGCGCCTCAGCCTGGGCCTCGCCCACCTAGAAGCAGCCCACTCGTTTCCTTAAGACTCACTCGGCGCCTCTCCACAGCTTCCTTCCGTCACACCAGGATTTCCAGACCTCAGTCCGTGGAGTCTCCCCTTCCAGATACTCACCATTAGTAACCACTCCTACTGGTAGTAACTGGTTCTCTAGCTCCACTCCTACCCATGTGTTACCTCACATTTTGTGAAATCATAAAGACCAAGCACCGTCAGTAAATCTAGATACCACCTGAAAGTTTTTAAAAGGGAGAGTAGCTAGTCTTGGAGAAGAAAAACGTGAGCGCTAACCTGAGACTCGCTCCTTGGTGCACTTGGAAGGATGGGAAGAGAACTCAAACTCAGCTCCCTACTGGATTGCCTTGTGCCTGATGCTTGTCCTTCTCCCGCAGAAGCAGCCCCGAGACTCTGTCTCCACACTGGATTTTAGTGAAAATCAGTTTTGCCTGAGGGCATCTCAGGGCCCATTCCTCCTGGTCAGGGGCCTGGGATCTGCGAGGCCCAGCCTGCGCCCTCTGATCCCCTGCTCGCCCTGACCTGTGCCTGCCTTGCAGAGATCCAGGTGATGATGGGCAGCCTGGTGTACCTGCGGCTGGGCTTGGAGAAGTCCCCTTACTGCCACCTCCTGGACAACAGCCACTGGGCAGAGATCTGCGAGACCTTTACCCGGGATGCTTGTTCCCTGCTGGGGCTCTCGGTGGAGTCGCCCCTCAGTGTCAGGTACGGGGCAGCCCTGTGGGGGCAGCACAAGTGGGAGGGTCTCAGGGGAAACAATTGGTGGAGGCCATTCCATGTGCCAGGGGTGGTCCTTGGTTCTTTCAGACCTAAACTGGCTCTCTTAGTCATGCTTCCTGGGAGGAATTATCTGATTTTACGGTTGGAGAAACTGAGGTTAGGAAGAGTTGTGGCCTGCCGTCACTGCAAGGTCAGTGGCGGGGTCAAGGTTCCCCTTCTTTTTTTTTTTTTTTTTTTAAGATTTTATTTATTTATTTGACAGAGAGAGATAGCAAGAGCAGGAACACAAGCAGGGGGAGTGGGAGAGGGAGAAGCAG